ATATATATATATAATATGTGCGCAAAAAACCCTTTTTAGTACATAAAAGAATACTATCGAATCTTAAAGTTTCACACAGTATTTTCTTCAGTTTCTGATACTTTTGTATCATTATTTCATACGGGTATATGAGATTGTTTTATTTCATTATAATATTATAAGGTGAATAGAATATAACTACCGTCGAAATGAGATTAATATAACTTATTACACCTGACGCGCGCATTTTACGATATGTCAAAAAAGTTTTATACTAATTTCCACGTTATTCTTTTTATAATACGTATGAAAAATCGCATCCTTAGGGTGCAAAATCATGCAGCGAATGGATTAACCGATTAATATGGAATGAGAGCAAAACCAATCGCGAGTGTTCTGCAGTTCTCGTTATGGCCGCGATTAGTTCAGTTCTTCTTCCGCATTATGCTATTTCGTTGCAAGAGTTCGCACCGATACAGGCATTGCTAGAGGTGATGTAGAAGTTACAGGAGCAGATCCCCAAGAACGATTTGTGAAACTCACCAATAGGGACAATAAGTCAGAAACACGAGTACAACTCTGATCAACAACAAAGGAAACAGGCATCACCACACCAATATCATGTATTTGAATAAATGAATAAATATTTATTGCTTCCCCTTAAGTCTACAAATATTCTTAACATAATTAATATCATCTATTTACATTATATCTTTTCGCTCGTAACTTACGGAAACGAAGATCGAGAATAGAATCGAAGCGGCCTATAATGCACGAATCAAGTTACTTGATTCAACTTGATTCGTGCATTGTAGGCCGCTTTGATTCTAGAGCGTTATTTATCTTAATTCTTCGACTGCTATGCTATGCTATGTTGTTCATTTTATTTTCATATAAAAGTTCAATCTCTTCTCGATTAGCATCTGCGCCTCATATTGATCGCGTAATTCTTGTAGCTGCAGAGTATCTGTCCTCCTCCAGGGCTGTGTTCCGATTCCCCACCCGAGTGCACCCGATATTATAGTATATGTCACGTATACTATAATATCGGGTGCACTCGGGTGGGGAATCGGAACACAGCACAAGAGGATACTCTGCAGCTACAAGAATTACACGATCAATATGTTCCTGTTTCCGAACAATGCTTTTAATCGATCAATTTTCTTTTCTGCTATCTGCGTCCTTTGTTTTCTTCTCTAATCTAGAAAACATATGTTAAATAAAAATGTTAGAGAGTTATACACATTAAATCACAAACATATATTATTTATTTTCGTTAGGGAGAGTCCCAGCTGCGCACAGTGCGAAACAGACACACCACTCATATCGACCGGTGTCTAGAGTAACCAACACGATCGACCAACCAGAGAATCCTATTTTCAATTGGTCAATAGGACATAAAAAAACTTGAGGCTTCTGTACACAGGACGCGGAAACGCTTACCGCGCGGCAAAAGACGACGCGGTAGCCAATCAATTTTTTGCTCTAATGGAAAAGTTGTAAGTTGATTGGCTACCGCGTGGCAAGCGTTTCTGCGTCCTGTGTGCAGAAATCATTAAGCAGTAATGGCTTCTGCACACTGGATGCGGAAACGCTTGCCACGCGGTAGCCAATCAACTTACAACTTTTCCATTAGAGCGAAAAATTGATTGGCTACCGCGTCGTCTTTTGCCGCGCGGCAAGCGTTTCCGCGTCTTGTGTACAGAAGCCTCAAGTTTTTTTATGTACCCGGGCCCTAAGACTTTAGTAACCGAATTGACTAATCATGGTCGAACAGTAAGGCAGCCATATTGAAACGTAAGCCACGCTGAAAATTTCGTGGATGAAATTCTTACGGGTCTTACTAATTAAATTTTTTTGTGTGCCACGGCCCTAAATTTTTAGGAATTAGAAATTTCACGCTCTCTAAACAGACATAATGATTCTCAAGATGTCGCAAGTTCAATTGCGCAAATATATATCAATATTAATTCTGATTAACACCATTTAACTTTCCTACCCATTTCGCAAATAAAGAAACAATGTGAAAAAGTATAGCGGAGCTCTCTTAGAGAATATATTAATAACACTTACTTGCTCTTGAGATTTTCGTTATCATCTTGGCGTTTGGCGTCGATCTCGAGCTTGGTGGGTTCCCTGGCCGTCTCGTCGTGCAGCTTTCGCTGCACACGCGAAAGCTGCACGACGAGACTACCAGAAAAGCCCATGCCGGGACCTCGTACGTGGCCATGTTGGACATCTCCCGAATGATGATTCGCGTTACTTTGAAAAGATGCGTTACCTCGAGTCGAAGGTACCTTAAGTCCCGGGTGGGATCGCTCCGACTCGAGGTAACGCACTTTCTCCATGTAACATAGCCGGATCGTTGAAATTAGCCGCAGCCGCCGTCTTCTTGCTAGACTTGATCAATATCGCTGTTGAAGAAAACGTGGCCTTCCTCTCGAGCGGTCTCAAGCGGTCTCCCGTTTCTGGCTTATATGGTCGTGACTAAGCTAACGTCCCAATCCCCTCTCGGGACACCGAGGTCATCGCATCGTGCGTCCACCCAATCGCTGGCTTCGAGCCGGTAGGGGAACGTTACATGTGGCGCGAGCTGATTCGTCAGATCAAATTAAACGGCCAAAATTGAACAAGCTGTACAACCAATCGCGACGCGAGTAATTGAAAGTGTCGTGACGTTGAATTTGGCGGGATTATTAAATTGTTGTCAACCTCTTTGTCGTGCGCGTACGCGTTATTCTATTTATTTTAATTGTACGTATCGTGATACGCTTCTCTCAAATGTAATAGAATGTGATAGATTCACGGTCAAAGAGCAAAGAAATTATTAGCGTTTTCGAATAAAACAGATTTGATCGCTGTGAGAACGATCAAAATCAATTTTTTATGAACAATATGTTTTTACCGAAAATGAGTTTTGAATTTGATTAATATAAATAAATATACCCCTAGTAATCCAAGACGGTGTTTATAACGTCATTAATCGCTCTCAGAGCAATCAAACCTCCTTCGTTCGAAAACGCTATAAGCGTGAAATAATAAAGATAAAACTTTCTTTGTAATTTAGTTAATGATAGTTTTTATTGCTTTCGCTTCTCTTTTTTTTTTTCTTTTGCTTTTTTTTTTTTTTTTTTTTTTTTTCTCCAAAACCTGCAAGCATGCATCTACTTCATTCTACATGCAAAATGCGAAGAATGGAAATGAAAATTTGCTCTACAGACGTTGCGCCGGTTGCGTTGCGACGAGATGAGACGAGACGAAATTTGAGATCGATAAGGATTGCGGTGGCGTCGCGCATGACTGAATTATTTTGCGAATTGCAACAATCTCGAGGTTATGACGATGGTGATGACCGGGCGCCAGGTTGACTCCAGTTGATTTCGTTTTTCTCTTGGCTCGCGAAATATACAAATACAGAACGAGTAACGGGCCTGACAGCAACGATGTTCGAGGGGGCTATAGCGGCATTTTTGAACCGCCTGCTGGGCAGATACGTAGAGGACCTGGACACGGAACAGTTCAACGTCGGTATTTTCTCCGGGGATACGTGCCTCACCGACCTCAAGTTAAAACCGGAAGCTCTGGTACGATTTCTCCAATGGTTTAAATAAAAAAATTTTCAGAGCTAGACCTCGATTAACTTACTTGACAATTAATTTATCAGTGAAACTTGCATTAGCTTGTTAATAAATGAGGATAAAAGTATTAATTTTTGACATATCAAAAGAAAGTTTGACTAGGAACGATATATTTTATGATTGGCATCAATTTATCCATTAGTTTCAATGTACCGCTGATTAAGTTAATCCAGGTTTAGTCAAAAGATCCTCAAATTATATAAAATAGGATCATATCAGATAAATACTATTTTCTGATGTGATTTTATGCTTTCAGTATCAACTGGGATTACCTATTAGAATAGAGATTGGCTTGATAGGAAAAATTATTTTGAAAATACCATGGTCTGGACTTTTCTCGCAACCAATTGTGATATGCATAGAGGTATCAAGCAATTTATATATGATTTATATTGTAACATTGTATATTGAAATAATATGAAATCATACACAGTTATTTTCATTCTCTTTAGGACATATATGCAGTTGCAGTACCTGCACTATCCGGTCCGTATGATCCAGAGATACAGAAACGTTTGATAAGAGCAGAAAAAAAGAAAATTCTTGAAGATCTCAAGGAAGATGAATTATTTAGAGCAGGTAGTTAAATATTTTTATCAAAATATTATTTATATTAATAAATTCTTGTATCGAGTTTGGTATTTCTGCTAGGAAATGTCTGTATATTTGATTTACGTTTGTCAAAGTTTTCCAACTTAATGTTTAATGCTTTTCAAATTAATAACATTTAATATGTTTCTCGATGAGATTTTATTTTTGTATAATTTATCTTTCTTTTTTTTTCGTAGGTCTACCTCCTCAACTATTTGATGGTCTATTAGCATCAGTTACAAAAAACTTTCAGATTACTATAAATAATGTACATATTAGATACGAAGAGAAAATATTGCGTAACTTTCTCTGTGCCTGTGGTATATGTATACAAAGTATATCAATTACGACTACCAACAAGTAAGAAGTAAACCTGATAACACATATTGTCATGTTTTTCCTCAATTATGTATGTCCAATGTTGTTAATAGAAATGATGAATTTCAGTAAATGGAAGCCTGGAGTGTGCGCTACAAATTCACAAACAGTGTATCAGCTTATACGCGCAGAATCGCTCAGTGTGTATATGGACCACGATACAGAATCCTGTATAAATATCCAGGGAAATTGGGACATGCCCAATCTTCTCGCATGGAAAAGCGCGATGCATAGATCTCTGCAAACATTTGGAATGAACAACAAGGAATTTCAGTTTTGTATGTTTGAGATATTACTTGTTCATTACAGTATCGTTATTATCTTGTATCTAAAAAAAGAAAGATGTTATTTCTCAACTTTTATCTTGATTTTAATAACATTTTTTTTTTTTTTTTTAAGTGTTGAAGCCTTTCACGGCCAAGATTAAAGTCATCATACACAAAGGTACAGAAACGCAAGCTTCTCGTATGTTGGTCGATATTGTGCTCCAGGATGTGGCAATGCAACTATCCGAAGCGCAATATGCTACATTTTGCCATATTCAAGATTCTTTGTTACAAGCGAGCGTCAATAGGTAATGAATTTACTAAGATTCTTTTATTTATTTTAATAACATATGCATTTTCAACAAATTCTCTCTCTCTTTCTCTCTGATAAAATGGGTGATTAAAAATTAATAGTTATATGTAATATCTACAGACCACATGCTAAATATCGACCAGAAAAAAGCGTGTACGAGGAGCCAACATCTTGGTGGAAATATGCATACAATTCTATTTTGAATCACTATATCAAACCATATACTTGGTTGCATATAGCCAAACATAGGAAAAATTACAGAAATTATAAAGGGGTGTGTATTCAAAGTTTGCAACGACCAAACGACACAGAACTGAAACTGGATCTGCAAAAATACGAGGATAGTCTGACAATATTAAATATAGTGATTGCGAGAGAGCATGCTAAACAAGAATTGAAAAATAAGGATATCGAGCGCGAGTGTCAAACTATAACAAGTTCATCAAAAGATGTCAATATCGAAATATTATCGAACAACGACCAAAGTATAATAGTTCAACACAACAAAGAAGAAAGTCAAAATTCGGTGATAGATGTAAAGGATAATACATCCAGTTCACAGATAAAATTGGAAAAATCATTAAAGCAAATCGGTGAGCGCATAAATATTTTCTTCAATGTAAGATTATTAATTGTTTTTTTATATAGTATTATGTGAAAAATCATAAGAATTATGTCACAAAAAGCAAATATTTGATAATTTTTCATAATTCTTTTCATAATTTTTGTTTTTTTCATCTAAAGAGAATCTCTTTTCATGTTTATAGATTACAAATTAAATTTTACTTTGGCAAATTGTTGTCTGACTCTTTTGAGCAAAGGCAAAGAAATGTTGATTGTAACTGTCGCACAATTCCTGACAAGTATCGAGGCACGGCCTACGTTATTAGCTTTCAAGATATCTGCTCGTGCTGAAAGTTTTGTTATCGAGGCTATATCGACCGACGGTGATTTGGTTCCTTTGATTACAGTTGATAATGTGTTGACAGGTAACGTGTTTACTTATTTATCTCTCTAAACAATTAATAGATTATTACAAATACTAATTGCAATTATTATATGTGTTTGACAGGGAATGTGTCTACCTATTTCTTGGCCATAGATTTTGAAAAGAATGGACTAAATATGGATCCTATTTTTGAAGTGTCCATAAAGTTGGAAGCTATCGAAGTGACTTATCATCACGTAATAGCACTTTTATACGCGATTGTTCCAATCACAATGTCTGTAAATCTTTCTCATACATTTGTTATTTTTTATTCAGTTTGCCATAGTGGAAATTATAAACTTTTTCAAATTCAACACCAATTACATATATGACACGATTCTCGGAATATACAGATTGTGGGATTATGCCAAAAGAAAATATTTCAACTTCGTGGACGACATCATTTCGCAGACATTGAGAATTAGCTTCAAAATAGATATTAAAAGTCCGTATGTTATATTTCCCGAATATGGATCGATTCAAAAGTACGTTTACTATGTATGTAGAATTATGAATGAAAGTGTATGAAAAATATCACATTTTGTTACAATTATGTTTTTAGAGGAGGACATATACTTGTCTTGGATCTTGGTAATGTGACCTTGATCAATGAACTTCAAGCGAGCAATTTGCAATTGGAAGACGCTACTCTTATGGAACTGGAAGAATTACTCTATGACAGACTTAATATGGAGTTTACCGGCGCGCAGATTTTATTTTGTCATTCGGGCGACGATTGGCGCTCGGCAAGAAAACAGAGCGATTCGGAGTATCATTTATTACCCAAGCTACAAGCGAACGCAACACTTTCATACAGTATTAGACCGGAATATCGTCAATTACCACGGTAAAAAATTGTTACTGTTCCTCTTGTTTATCCCTCTTTTTAATATGTAACTTTTCACAGGACAAAACTTAATGTACATATTTCAAACGTAAAGTTTAATTTATCAGAAAATAAATTGCAACTGATGGCGCACTTTTTGAATAAATTGCTAGTGCTATACGAAAATAATGTTGAAAAATATAAAGCTACCTTTAAAAATTCTACTCTCAAACAAAAATCAAGAGTTGCTTTTACTTCGGTAAAAGAATTGATGAAAGTACAATCTGGTGTGTGCTTGCCATCTGTTATAATGATGCACAATGGTTTTAAACCTATTATCAAGGAAATTGTTACCAATAATGTACCAAAGCTTGACAGGTAATGTGATAATATATTATAAAAGTAAATATTTCTCTCTCACTACTTAAGGTGTATTAAGATCAAATTATTCGAATTTTTTATTAGGAGTGTTGTTTCTTCGGAAGTTAGCGAAGAAGACTTGGAACTGTTATCTAAAACGATTAATTTATCTGGATTTGACGATAATATATCTCCATGTAACCACATTAATTTGTTACTTCGATTTGCTATAAGCGAGGCAAGTACAATTTTATCAAGCATCCACATATCTTATTAAATATCTTATTAAATATAATTATTAAATAAATATGTTATTGATATATATCTGGGTTCTAAAATTTTTAGTTCTCCATAAATCTTGAACATATGGTGGACAACCGAGAACAGCCTTATCTCAATTTGAGATTGCATACCTTGTACTATGAAGCAGCTATGATGGAATATGGTATTGCTGTTCAATTCGGTATTGGATCGATTCTTCTAGTCGATAAGACAAACGCTGGCGTTACCGGATCATATCTGGAATTGATATCCACCGACGAGTCTTACGAAGTTCTCATTGTATCATATCGTAAGGTAATCTTTGCACAAAGATACAATATATATACTTCCTGATTTGTAAATGTGCATTAATTATTTCTATTTTAAAGGTTAAATCAAATTGCCCCGATTTCAAGTCGCACTTTAAAAATATCGAACGCTCACTGATTGTGAATCTATTGAATATTAATATAAATCTTCATAGATCCGCGTTACTGAAAATAAAAGATTACTGGCATAAATTTCAAACGTAAGTGAGACACGTAAGAAAACACACGATCGTCTCGATAGATATTCCTGGAAATACTAATTGATTTATTTCTTTCAGTATGTGTGATGGTACACTGTTAATCAAGTATGCCGAAAAGATATGCAGTAATATTATAAAACGGGAACAAAAGGATGTAGATCCACCCATTCCACCAGGTATAAATATATTCTTCAATACAAGATATACATTTTTTGGGATATGGAAAGGGAGTATCAATTAGTTTTACATCTTGCAACAATACTTTTATAGGTGCGATTAAACTGAATTATTCAACCAGACTTAGTTCGCTAGCACTACGATTCTGTGACAAGGACATAGATTTGATGGAGATTAAGGTTTCGGGCTTGGAAAACGATTGCATCTACAATGCGAACGAGAGAATGGTGTTGCGTGCCCATCTCAGAAGTATACTTGCTGAAGACTTGAACGACGACACGCTTTATTCGAAAGTAATCACCCTGAATAATATGTATATTTTTTTTTGACTGCATACACACACATGCACGCGCGCGCACACACACATACACACGTACATATATATATCATTTTTTAATTTTATTCAAAGATTTTGACGACCGATGAGGACAAGGTATTTGATCTGAAATATGTAAGACATACACCAAGGTTATATAAATGTTCGGATATTGACACTAATCAGGATGATGTGATGTCAGATGGCACCTTCAAGCTTTCCATCGGAAGAATAAATTGTGTGATCATTTCTAAAATTTTGTATGATTTAAGGGTACGATAGATTTCTTACATTGCATTTGTATCTTATTATGATATTGATATTTACACTTTAACTTTCTTTATATAGAATTTTGTGAAGCCGTTCGCTTCCACGTACTACACTCGTTTCTTAAATTATTTGAAAAATAAGTTTGTCGGAGGAATCGAGTTGTTCAAGAAGAGTGCGACGAAATTACACATTTTTATCGATATACAAGGACCTACTTTTCTGCTACCACAGAAGAAGGATGCCCCGAGTCTCTTGGTTTTCGATACGGGTATAGAATTGCTTCCGAGAGATAATTATATAAATTGAGACGTTTCTGTTACAGAATTTATTTCCAGGCATATTATCAGTCGAAAACTTTTTCAAGAACAACGGACAATCGATGAAAGCGATCGCTAATGATAATGGACAATTGATAATCGATAACATTTTGATAAAATTGAAATCTGTGACTATATCTAGGGCAATTATGACTTTGGCGCGAGACTTGGAAGTGCAGGTAAAGTTAGATTGAACATTCCAATAAATTTTGTTACGTCAGAGTATTATATGAAAATAATTTCAGGAACCCATTATCGAACCTATACAAATTCAGTTTGATATCAAGAGAAAAACGGAATACCGTAGTACTATGGAATTCCAAACATACGGTTTATTCAATGTACAAGGAGCAATCGATATTATAAATGTAAACTTGAGTCAGCAGGATCTCAAGTCCCTTATATCGGTGTGGCAAGATAATATTTCCAAAATACTGTTGCTTAAAAAGGTCAGCGAAAACGAGGATAGAATTTCAACACAAAGCTTCCGAAAGAATGTCGAGCACAATGATGACATTATGATGAAGAAGCTGGAAGACTTTTTAACTCATAATGAAACAGCGTTATGTGAAATCAACATAAAATTTACTTTGGAGGGATTGCAATTGAATTTATTTATGGACACAGAAGAGGTATATATATATAGATGTTAATATCAAATTAATCAATGTTGATTTGTCATATATAATTTTGATTGTATTATGTTGCAGGTGTTGAGTTCCCCTGTGCGCGATTTGAATCATGGTTTGTGCAAATTGAGCTTCGGAGAAACTATAAATACCTGGGACTTTTATAGCGACAAGAGTGTGAAAATGAAACTCTCTTTGCAAAGCTGCTTATTGCAAGACACACGCAAAGACTCGGTCATTGAAAAGAAGTGTGTATCGTTGATCGGGAGTTTTAATTAGAAAGATTTTGTTGGTCTTTGATCCTTTATTAATCTCGTTTTACGTTTTCAGAATAATACAATCGCCGGCAATATCTTTAGAGAAGAATTTAGAATCTTGTATTTCTGTGTCGATGTCTCCTATAGTCGATGTTACGTACAGTCGTACTCAAGCGAAGGAAAAGTGTTTCGACGTTCTTATTCAAGACGTGCGAATTAATTTGTCTGTACCTTTCTTGATGCATTTGGGACGGTACTTTCTGGATTCCTTACCTGGCGAGCAGATAGAGAAAGGAATCATCAATCACGGATACGATAATAATAACCAAATGGTAAATATAAATTCATTTGGACAGTAATAGAGCTAATTAAGACTATTTTTCTCAATTAACTTTCACCTCTCTCAATCAATTCTCTCTTAAAAATTGTACATCTTGTCTAAAATATATTTATTGAATAAAATTAATTCCATCAATGTATTTGATTTAAATCAAGAACCGGAATGCTATAAATGCAGAACCTGACAAAATAAATTGCTCCCAATATTTTAAGGAGCAACCAGGTAGTTTGTTTATGTATGCATGCAGGTTGTATACAAAAATGGCTCTTTCTCTCGTTCTCAATAGCGATTGTATATGTGACATTTCTCGCATGACTTTACATGTAGAAAATAAAACGATTAATTCTAATGTGTTTAGGTACTTCTGTATCAATTAGAATACAAAAGCCGGATATTTTTCTATTCGGTGACTTGGAGAAGAATAATACGCACGTGATTCGAATGCAGACAGAAGTGTTCATCGAAAGCAGCAGACACGGTTGTTCCTCTTCGATAGTCTGCACCCTGACCAATGTCAATGCCAAGACCAAAGGTCGGGGAAATTACGAGTCTCCATATTGGTTGTTACATCCTTGCGATGTAGAAATTTCTAAGAAGAAAGAATTGTCGAGCGGTAATGAAGAAATCGCCGTTGCTATAAATAGTATTAATGTACATCTATCAGTGGAAGTGATCCATACCTTTTTCGATGTAAGTATGACTTGAGCTAAATCTCTGATATATAAAATATATCTGATATTCTGTAAACTATGATTGAATTATTTATATCGCATATTGTCAATGTCTGCATTCTAGATATTGAATGAAGCGTCGACTTTTTTGAACAGCATTAGCTCGAAAATGGATGACGATAGCAATCAAAATGCCAGCGTGCATAATAATCTCTGGGCGCCAAGAAAAGTTTCTAGTATACCGTATAAGAAAACTGATGAAGGTAAATATCTTATGATATAATGTAGATTGTTCTATTATAATTCTTTCATTATATTTATTTAAATAATTTGCATTTTTTGTTATTAGGCGACTCGACGTTGTACCATCATCACAACAATCATGTAATATTCAATTTGAGACCTGTACTAATGTGTTTATTGTTGGAAATGGAGTATTCCGTAGGAAGATTTCCAGTAATGAGAATAGAAACTGTCGTTACCGCTACCGTCGATGATTGGTACAACAATTTCCATCTCGAGTCTAATATAAAGCTTCACGCATTCTGTTACAATAGAGCTTATCAGAATTGGGAGCCATTCGTGGAACTTTGCACAAAGGATGATGTAAACTATAAACCATGGGAATTCATTATTAAGGTTACAAAGATTATCGATTATTGTACATTTATATTTATATTATTATTTTCTATTAATTATCTATTAATGTAGTGTTTTATATATATATATATATATTGGTCATAATTTGATTTTTTCAGACATATCGAGGCGAAGCAAATATGATCAATTCCCATTGGACAGATTTTTGTCACCACATAAAACAAGATTCTGCAAAAGCAAAAAAGAAGGATATAAAGTGTAATGAACAGGATGTAACGGATATGATATTTATTGGACCCGATACTGATGTGATCTCTATGAGAAAAGGTGAAATTATTCACATGATTGTTTTACTTAATACATGAGAATTAATTATTTATATATACTATATATTATATTATATTTATTGTATTATATATATATGGTACATGCCTATTTATTTTTTAAATAAACAGAACCTGAAACTTACATTACATATGAGGATGAGTCTGATACGGACGATGACGAGAGCGATACGAAATTAACAAAGATTTCCAATTATCTATTTAATAATAATAGCGACGACGAAGAAAGTGTTTCCGACGATTCGAGTACAAATGAAGATGAGGAACTGGAATTAACGCTGGATTGTAATTTTGAATCTTGTACGTGTAAATTCAAAGAGTCTCACACATGTATTAAATCTCAGTTGTTTATATTAAAATATGTTAATGTTTTAATTTTGCACGCAGTTAATTCCGCCACGCCACGTGCGCTAGCGAAAACAAATCTCTTCGCGCCGCATATTATTCTATATTCGGAGGACAAAATCAACATCACCATAACTGAAAACATGATCGCGACGTGGAATGCGATGTCAAACGCATTTGCAAGAGTTAAGGGTGGAATCCCGTTCGTACCAGCCAACACACGAGAATTGACTGTGCTAAACGATATAGGTCACGCGAGTCGAGTAGAACTGCTTGTTCAAGAAGAAGTAGACGGAAACAGTGTCACGCGTGTCCTAGCCGCGCATAATTTTGCACACGACGGGAACTCGCCGACCAGCGTGCCCAGCAGTCCGGAAAATGAAACCCAGGTGGATTTCACGAGTCCTCGATGGATCGGTAAAGATACCGCCGTAGTCGTATCGGAATGTCAGACTTTTCCTGTCGACTCGCCGGTGCAAATCTACAAATCTATAACTGGCGAGATTCTTCGTGTTATTTTTGAAGGTAACTTCTGCTCGCTTCACTACACGAAAAATACCATAAATATGTGAATAACCGATTTTTATTATTAACGCAGGTTTCGAGGATGTGTTGATGTATTGCCCTAAGAAGGAAACATGCAGTCTCGTATCGCTTCGTCCTGTGAGACACGACGTCCGCTATTATCTGGTAATAGAGGCGACGATAAACAGTTATCTACATCGTACGGTTTGCGTGCGATCTCCGTTACAGGTAATGTAATCCACTTTATTTATCCACTTTTTTTCGCATCACCGTCTTTTGTATTTTTTCCGCTAACGGAAAGATACCTTTTAGTTTCGAAACGAAACGTCGTACGCACTTGGACTTTATTACAAAAAAGCGGTAGTGGACAAACTGGGTTTAACACCTACCGGTGAAGTTACAAATCCCTTTGATCATAATATAAGAATGGCAATCATCGAACCTGATGCGACTTATAACATTCCTCTATATATCGCTTATCATTGTCCGATACACGTTCTTCCTGCGTATCTAGAGTAAGTAGAATCGTAAATTAGGGCAGTTTGTAAGTTGTTTTCTGTTTGAGAAAGAAATATAAAATAAAATATAACACAATAATAAATATATTATTTGTATAGAAAATATCAAGTTAGCGAGGAAGAAATTTATTGGAAAGACTTGAAGGGTACAGCAAATGCATTTAAAGACGTGTGCTGCAAAGCGAAGGGCGACATTAACTGTAATGTATTCTGTGTCAGGGCGATATGCACGGAAGTCCCGTTAACGACTCGTTCCTCGGGCTGTCAAGTGCCGAATTACTTGATAAATATCGTACCGCCTGTAATTTTTAATAATCAGCTGCCCTTCGTCATCGATGCCGGTATACCTAGCATTAATTACGAAATGAAAATCGAACCCGGGGAAAAAATAAACATGCACTCTCTGAATCATAGCAGTAATGTGCAGTTTATTTTTAAGGTGCGTAGAATTTTGAAAAAAAAATCAGTTATATGAAAATGTAGCAAATACTGCTTTGCATCGTTTAATCACACACCGCTCAATGATTTTATAGATACACAACTATTTGGGCACGTCTTGGATGGGTGCGGTAAAACTGAATATGAATCTAGAACGAAAGTTTATATTAATGTCTGCAGATAACGAGTCGGATTTGACGAAACCCTTCTTGCTATGCTTAGAATTAGGTAAAATTTCCAGCTGGAACATCATTATACAATCGCAGTATTGGATGATAAATAAGTCTGGCTTGCCGCTGTTTATCCAGGTATAACCCAAACAATTTGATTTTCATATATAATAATAATAAACTATGATCTATATTACTATTCTTCGTTTAGGATTGCCATTCTCATATAACTTATGAGATGCCAGAGGAAGAATTGATGGTGTTCTCTCAAAAGAATAATAAAAAGAGCATGGTTCGATTAAGGGCCCATCAGTCCGAGTGGTCGATGCCATTTGGATTGGACGGAATTACGTCGATGTCGTTGATCGTTTGTCGAGATATTGAACGCGGACGAAAGTATCAGATCTTAACGGAGATAGAAAGTTCCCGCTTATCGCCCATTTTCACGAAGATTATAACGTTTCTACCGTACTTTTTCATTTGCAACAAAACTAAAAAGGCTTTGAGGTTTATGGAGGAGAATGAAGAGGCCGATCTCTGGAACGATCTTTTACCTGGCCAAGAGATATCGTTCTGGCCCGTCACCGAGTCCATGAAAATGAGAATAAAGTGGAGAAACAGTCAGCTGGTCTCGCAACATTTCGACATTACATATGTGGGCAAGACTGTGCTGAGAATGGATAACGGGGTAAGACGAAGACACGCGATTACACATTAATTATAACAACCAATCTAATGGATCTTGTACAGAATTTTGTAATTTACTTTGCAACACTTGGAAAAATTTTATATCAAGATTTTCTAATTTATAGTCGGCGTTATGCGTAGAGATTGAAGGTGGCATGAATGCCCCGTATCGCATAACATTCCGAAGATACATCGTCACCGACATACCCGTGCGAGTGGATAATCTTTGCGACAAACTATTTCTGAAACTGAACCAAATCGGTTTGGGTCAAGTCGCTCTGCTCAAACCGTTTCAAAGTCTGCTATACACTTGGGACGATCCTACTCAGAGCAGAGAATTGATTTGGAATGTTTATAACAATAATGCATTCGGCTATAGAGCACAACTTGAAACGGTAGTGAAAGAAAAAGTGTCTCTATTATTGTTTCTTACTTTTCTTATAATTTTGACCAGATTTTCCATATTGCATTCTGTGATAAACTTATTTCTTTTTTTGTTGAATTAAATTTCTACGAGATTTCCAATCCTCATTATTAAAGCAATAATCAAAACCCATGGGGATTAGTCTTCTAAATATCAGTTTAATTTCAATTAATTTTTGCGGGTTGGTTACTTGGTATTAACATCTTCGTTTGTCTGTAGGATGGCTGTGGGCACGAAACGGTAACTTTTGTAACCGTCGAACGGCGCGACAGCGCGTGTCATTCCTCCCAAATCGCTCCCAAATCGCTAGCAAACGCGAAGCCGTCGTGGTCGGAAGATACGAGCACAAGTACCACTCATTCTTCTCCTAACGCAGAATCTGACACAAAGCCACAAGTGTTGGGGCACGCTCGGCAAGATGAAACGGAGGTTTACTGGGTGAGCTACATGGAAGGCGAGCAACGCGTGTTACTATTTACGCAGCACGAGAGTGTGTACCTGAAGGCGAAAAGTGTCATCGATCCCGAGACGAGCAAAAGAGAGATATTTCTGTCAATCGCGGCTATTGGAATGAGCATTGTAAGTAAAGACACATAGAAGCGATTGTAAGTCGGTCCAGCTGTGATAAACCAAAGATTATTAATTGACTTTTTTTTCCACACAGGTCGTACAGGAATCCAATCTTCATAGTGCCAGACGAGAGTTATTGTATGCCAGTGTGATCGATTCCGCCGCGCATTGGGAGCTTTACTTCAGCAAACGATGGAAGAGCCTGTCGTTAGAATTGAGCGCTTGGTTGGAAAACAAATATACGAATTCCGCGAAGGCTGCGCAATTGGAGAATTTTATTGATGTACGATTTGTCTAACGCGATCCTTTGAACTGCAGTAGGCGTTTATGAATATTGCGGGCTCTCGATTCTATTTAATCGTATATATTTGATAAAATGTAACTTAATAATATTACGTCCATTATACAAATACGATATTTCCAGTTATAAAAATTAAATGTGTAGAGTATTTGAACATAAAGTATGTTTATTGCAGAGATCATTAATACTTGCATATATTCGCTGTGATTGTGCTTTATCGCATAGCGAAATGAATGAATCTGTCCGTCTTCAACATATCCCTTTCTAAATATTTTGCAGGTTGATTTAGTGAAAATGCAGATGACTAAACCATTCTTTGGCAAGTTGCGAAGGACGTATTCACCAGGTATCTGGCTGCATAGCAGGGAATCCACCACGCTTTGTTATTTGCAGGGATATATTCACAGGATACAGGTATTAATTGTATTCATAATTACAATTTGCGGTAATAACTTTTCTTGTCCATCTTGCACAGGTTGATAATCAATTGAGCGAAGCTGTCTTTCCGGTGGTTCTATATCCTAGCTTGCAAAAGACTTTTGTGAATTATGCTGGAACCCGCAGATTGAAACACTGCTTAGAGTTCTCGTATCTAAAGCAACGCAAATTGAAGAATATCATTTACAAGTACACTTTACGCATAATATAAATAATATGCTAATATACTAATAATAGTATACATAATAATATTAATAATATAGTAACATATTATTAATATTATATATTATGTAATAATATTATTACTA